CGCGGTGGCGACGACTGCGAGGACGGCCCTCCTCGTCTTGGCTCTCCATCGCAGATGCGTTGGTGCGGGCGGGGGAGGGGGCTGCGTGAAGGAGAGAGGAGCTGCGCTAATATGCAAAGTAGCAATACGCAACGGCTACCCTTCCCAAGGGTACAGTAGTCACGTGTCACACCGGTAGTACTGTAGCCCTTTTTAATTAACGAAAAATGTTGTTGTTTATAAGACCCCCAAATTGGGCAATTTCTTGTCTCGAATTACAGCGGGTTGCCCTAAAGTTCGGACAAATGCCCTAACCCCCGGACACAAGCTAATTCTGCAAATTTTATTCGGAATCATGATTCGGGCCCTCCTGACCACCATAAAGGGTCTCTCCGGGTACCTTCAGGGCGCTTTCAGCAGTAAACCATTCGTCGCCACGTCATACCGACCTCGCCACTGGATTCCTTGCCTTTCGTAATTGTAGAATGGCACCTTTTTTCCACGCCAATGTTGAGGTGAGGCTCGCAGGAGCTGTTTAAATGATTTTCGCCAGGGCTCAATGGCCGGTCTGAACTCACACCCTTGACCGCAATGAAAACCGAATGCGCGGTTTCTGCGTGCATTTCAATATGTGTGTAAATTTATTTCAATAGGTAGGGATGGCCGATGCTATATCATAGGACAGGCTTCACCCTTGGGTAGGGCACGATAAGGCCGGCCCATGATAAGGCATGCGGGCGAGCGTGGCAGAGGCAACTCTTGACCAAATGGCGTAACTGAGGCGCTGAGATATTCGGGACTTGGCGGTACCAAGCGTTGTCCCTGTGCGGATGGCTATTTGATGAGCGAGGGACTCGAGTACAGCTGAAGTGCGGGCGCTGGGGGCGCCCAGAGTGTCGAACGCTGAGGGGACGGAGTGCCCGTCCAACAGGGGGAGCACAGCGTCGGATTGCAAATGCAGGGCAGAGCGGAGAAGGCGAGCGTGCGTGCGAAGTTTGTCCACATCCGCCACTTCAGCAGCCCCGGCCACGCGTTGAGCGGCCGGGACGAGGGCTCCTGCGCGATATGGGCTGCGTACAGTGACGTCGTAGGCGGTGGGCCGGTCTGGAAGAGCGCCCACAGGAGGCGGGGAAGGTTGGACGAGGATGTCGGCTGGACGGTGAGCAGTGCCGGGGATCAGGAAGGGCACTTCGAGATCACAACGCAGTCCGGCGGCGCGAAACGCATGTCGCGCAAGAGCGTTGCGCACGGTGTTGTGGCGATGCACAACACCGAAGCCGTACCGACATATAGCAGCATGGTCCCCGCGGGTGTCCATGCGATGACGACAGTGGGAGCACACAAGGGGCGTGATGGAGTCGCTGTAGACCGTTGTATCTAAATGACGACGTAGCATTACGAACCACGCCTCCTTAGAAACGTGGGACGTCAGGGCAGGGTGGGCGCAAAGGAATGCAGCGGCTCCGGGAGCGGAGAGAGAGTTGTACCGCGCTCGACGGCGCACAGAGGCGGTGGTGTGGTCAGAGGGGGAGGGTAGCCGGTCCCATGCGGACTTTTCCCAGTAAATGCGAGCGAACGCCTCATGAAGCGCCTGAAATAGTGTGTGATGTACGCGTTCAGGTCGGTCCAGCAGGGCGTCAGGCTCAAACGGTCCAAGTGATGAATGCGTGCTCACCACACCCCTGGTATGCGATTCGGGGTGGGTAGACGCGAGGATGCCCACAAGGTAGCGGCGGGACATACTGCGGTATTGCGGGACGGAAGGATGCGCGGGACGTTGGATACGAACGGAGGCAGATTCGAGGAGGCTTGCTGCATACGATGCGTGCACAAATGGGGTGAGAGGTGTAAACCCATGGCCCCCCATACGAAAGGGGAGTCCTATTTGCATCGACAAGGAGGGGGAGAGCGGTATGTCATTAAACCGCGAGTACGTAGCCTGCTGTAATTCGTCAAAGCTTACAGCAAGTGGGAGGGACACAGCGGGAGGTGTCAAGCGAAACACATGCTCCACCTTGCAAACTGACCCTGTCACGCGGTGTATTTGAAACCGTACGCGTGCATCAGGCACATCATCTAGGAGATTGAGTGAGTCTGACACCGACGAGATTTTTTGGCGTAAGAATTTCTTAATGTATGATTCGGTTCCAAGGGGAGCACCCAGGAGAGCAATCCCACCGTCTTGTGTGACATCCAATGGGAACGATTCGGTCATATTTTGTAGAAGAGCGGGGATCATGGAGGGCCAATATGCACGACATTTCGAGACGTTCATGGTAAATCCCATGTCAGGGCCGGACGTTTTCAAGATTTTCAGCGCTTTGGTCACCTCCGGTATTGTTCCTACGAGAGTGCCGTCGCCAGCGTACCACTGGTTCAGCGAAAGATGGCACTCTCGGCTGATTCGCCTCACGAGAGGCTGCACAGCGAGCGAAAACAAAAGCATTCCAGCAGGGTCTCCCTGCTGTGTGCCTTGACGACTCTTCAAAAGGACTCGAGGGGAGGACGGCAGAACGAGATCCGGTACAGTACGGCCGTATATCATATTGAGAAAGTGGGCCAAGCTCGGAGTCTGCAGCGATAATTTGTTGATCATTGCTTGCCGTGAGAAGGTATTAAATGCATTACGAGCGTCAACGGAGACAAGAATGAAATTGGGATCCCGGCCGTGTCTGGCCATCAGCATGCGAGAGTCATGGACAATGGCGTCCATGCCGGACTGGACGCCATTCGCGAGCTGCTCTGGTGCAAGGAGATCCCGTGTGTCTTCAATGGCCGCGTGTAGCAGCGTTTTTGTCACAAGCCGACGCAGAGCTGTCCCGACCGCTATGGGGCGGATTTTGTCGGGGCGAGGTTGGAGAGGGATGAGGGTGGAAGCCGCGAGTAAGGAGGCCGTGCGATCGGGCACGTCTTTGCGTGCGAGACGCTGGACAAGACCAGTGAGTGCCGACAGTCCCGTGATCCCGGATTCGGGGCTCACAGACGTATGGGCCAGCAACTGTAAGAGGCGTGGAGACAGTCGGTCCGGCCCAGCGGCAGAAGAGGGATTCATAGACCGAGTGGCACGGAGGACCTGCCCTTCTGTTATGTCAGGTGCCGGCGGCAGCTCGGTAGAGAGGAGCGGTTGGACGGGTGCCGCTGGAGAGGGGTGAAGGAAAGTCAGTTTCTGGTTTGTAGCGGGGTCCTGGAGATTGGCGAGCGGCTTGTCCGTTAGGGCTCTCATCGCTCGTCCGTAGTGTGAATCGGCTGCAAAGCGCAACGCGCGGGTGACTCGTCGTTAGGACGAGTCGGCGCGCTGGCACCGCCTACCGTGTCGTTCGTGCCAGTCAAGGTCGTTCTGTCGCGCGTCCAGGGCTTCTTGCCATAACTGAGGCCATTGAAGGCCAGAAGTTGCTCTACGGATGCGGTCGCGCAGGGCATGGTGCTGCCCCTTTCTTGTGCGCCAGCCAGGCTCGCCGTGGAACGTCCGTCGAAGGACGGCGGTTGGTAGGAGGTGGAGGCAGAGGAAAGCGCGGTGGGTCGCGGAAGGGTCGGTGGTGGCGGCAGCTGCACGAACCAGCTTGATGAGAAGTAATGTTAAGCTGTGGAGGCACGGGGCGGGTACAGCTGAGTAGATTTGGGACGAATAAAATGGGCTGAGGAGGAGGTCATGGACTGAGGGAAGGGGCGGGGAGGGGCCCGGAGGCGCGACCTGGGGGGCGTAGCGGGGCGG